GTGGTAGAATAAGACAAGTGGGTCACAACCTAGCCATTCTACTCATTCAGCACTCAAAATTTTTATATGTAATGTCTATGTTGTTGTTGTTAAGTACCATGGAGTCGGTTCCGACTCATAGTGACCCTGCACAGGGTTTCCGAGGCTGTAAATCTCTACGGGAGCAGAATGCCTCATCTTTCTCCGGTGGGACCGCTGGTAGTTTTGAACTGTTGACCTTGAGGTTAGTAGCCCGTTTCATAACCACTATGCTACCAGAGCTCCTTACATGCCCACAATATTTGTCACTTTAATGATCCATAAATTGAGGCCGTGAAAATGGCAGCTTAGATGGGTGACTTCTTTCTTTTTCCTGAAGCTGAAAGCTCATCCAAGGACCACTGGGAAACCTTACAGGCTTGAAGAGAGCATTCCTAATAAAGATATCTGTATTTTTCTTAGACAAGGGCAACCAAATGAGGACAAACTATTGATATTTCCAAAGGGCAGAAGTTCTTCTGTGTCTCTCCCTTCCTCTGTTTTCTATTAAGAACAATTAAACTCAAGGCCTTGACTGGCTGATTATATTACCAGTGGTGAAAATAGGAGTGGACAATGTTGAGACACAGATATACTTTACTTAGGAATTATCTTCCAGGATATACAGAGTGACTCCTGATGTAGGACTGTAGGATAAACACTGGACTGCTAACTACAAGGTTGACAGTTCAAACCCATCAGTTGCTCCTTGAAACTCTATACAGGGTCATTATGAGTTGGAACTGACTCAATGGCACTTAACAACAACAAAAACAACATACACAGACCACCAACACCCGTCTGTCAGAAGAGGATACTGTGGTGGTTTGGGAGTTGCTGTGATGTTGGTAGTAGTTATATCACCAGTAATTCAAATCCCACCAAAGTCATGCATGGTAGACAAGTTTCAGTGGAGCTTCCAGACAAAGAGACTGGGAAGAAAGGCCTGCCAATCTACTTCTAAAATTAGCCAACGAAACAACAAAACACTGTCTGACTCACTTAGCTATGTCATCTGGAAGGATCAATCCCCAGAGGAAGACATCTTATTTGGTGAAGTTGTTGTTGTTGTTAAGTGCCGTCGAGTGGGTTCCGACCCATAGCAACCCTATACAGGGTTTCCGAGGCTGTAAATCTTTATGGGAGCAGAAAGCCTCATCTTTCTCCTGCAGAGTGGCTGGTAGTTTCAAACTGCTGACCTTAAGGTTTGCAGCCCGATTTATAACACGAGGGAGACCCTTGATTGGATGGATTAATACAACAGTTACTACAGTGGACTTGATCATATTGGCAATTGTGATAATGATGCAGGACCTGGCAACCTTTAGTTCTGTTTGTAATATGTAAGGTCACATGAGTCAGCGTTGACTTGATGGCAGCTAACAACCCAGAGAACAGAGCAGAGGTGGAGGAGGACAACTGTGAGGGGCAGTAATTTCAACTTTACTTAACATATTGCTTTCACTGTCTTTATCTCGTTCACTCTTCTCATGGAGGTTTGCTCATATATCCACTAGTTTATTTTCCATTCAACATGGAAGTGATAAGGGCATGGCAACAGAAATCTGGAAACCCAAGGACAATCCTGTATCTTACTTTCTGGAAAATTACACATTTCTGTTCACTTTTATAGAGAAAACACTTCTAATTCCAAACAGCAAAAGTGATGCTGCCGCTTCCCCGTGGGACTTGGAGACATGGGGCAGAATGCATGGAATATAGGTTGCTGGGGGCCTCACAAGTTTCTATTCCTGTGACTAGGAGAAATTTGGAAGCTGGAATTCTTGGGCTGTCTGTGGAAGGCTGAACACCACAACACTGCCTTATTAGCAGCGAGGACAAAGCCTCTCTATTTGTGCTGGTATTTTCTCTTGAAAATACTGAGAGAAAGCACTAGATTTGAAAAAAGCAAAAGTCAAAATACTTTGAAGAATGTTTCCATTGTTTTTGATATTTTTTGTTGCAATTTTTGTTTATGGAAGTAGAGTTGTTGTTGTCAAGTGCTGTAGAATCAGTTCTAACCCATAGTGATCCTGTATAGGGTTTCCGAGGAGTGGCTGGTGAGCCTGAACCCCTGACCTTGCAGTTTGAATGACTTTACAGTCCAGGGCATTGACCCACAGAGCTATACCGGGACTCCAGAAGTAGAGTAGGGAGGGAAATTTGGGAAAAATGAATAGGTGCCAGGGAAAAGTCAGAACTACATGCTTGGGCACCAGTAACCAGGATCAAGGCTTATTAAAAGGGCCTAAACATGAAGGGCATCATCAAAGAACAAGATGTGGATCTAGTGACAAGATTGTTCCATTACCTCGGGAAATCTCGGAAGGAGAGCCTGGTTTGCTACTGTGGGTTAGAGAAAAGTAGTGTTGTATACTCTTGTAAATTCATAAAACTCTCTGGTCAGCTCTAGGGGAATTAAGGGCAAGGAATTAAACCTAAACTATGATTCACCATATAAAGGACAAAATGATGAAAATGAACTTTGATACTAATTGAACATTGAAATATTCCTGGCAGGTGTGTGGAGGATCCAGATTAATGACCAAGATACCTGCAAAATGAGGGCCTGAGGGATTTCCCATTAAAAGCATTCAATGGAGAAATACAAACTCTTAGCAAAGGAGATGCAGAATTCCCTTCTCTGGAGCTAAAAGGGTGGTTGGGGGTTGCTTGGGGGAAAGAACGGTGTGGTCTTTCTCTGCAGATCTGCTTTTGGAATCCCTGAGCTGCAGCTGTTGAATTTCCAGACACAAACAAGTATGCATTCTGTGAGTCTTGCCGAGCCCACACAGCAAGGAGAGCCAAGCGGGATTCCATTCTGCTTTGCACATCAGCAGCTCGGCTGCCAGCTAAACTCCAGGGCAAGATCTGCAACTGGGGATGATGCATTTGGCCTTCATTAATTTGGGGAGGATGAAAAATGGAATGCGATACAGAGTTTCAGAAACATATATCAGCCTCAACAAAACCCATGCACAAGGAAGAAGCTGCTTTTAGTAGACAAACATGTCTCTCTGTGTGTATATTTATGTTTAAGTAATGCAGTCTTCCTCTCTCTGAGTAGAGTAGGCAGACAGGGACAAGTGGTCAACTCTGTACCAATTACCACTGTGTAGAGTTGTGCAGTTGGTTTATTGCACAAAGGTGGTCAGCCAAGTGGGGAGGAAGGGACAGAAATCTCTTGGGTCTTGCCTTGTGCCCACAGGGTCCTCCACCCAGAGGGACCCCCAGTCCAGTTGCTGTTGACTTGATTTTGACTCACAGTGACACAAGGTGTGGCAGAGAAGAACTGTGCTCCATACGGATTTCAGTGGCTGATTTCTCAGAAGTGAACTGCCAGCCCTTTTTGCAGAAGTGCCTCTGGGTGAACCCAAGCCTCCAGCCTTTCAGTTAGCAGCCAAATGTGTTAACCATTTGCATAACCCAGAGGATCCCTCAGAGGGACCTTTGTCTAATTCACCAGGGCTCCCTGTAGTGTCTTCTCTGCTCATATCACCATATATTTTAAGGGGTTTTGAAAGAAAACTAAAGGATAAAGGGCTCAAAGGCGATTAAAAAAGGGAAGCTGCAAATTTAAATCTTTTCCCTTTTTTTTTCAAACTAGATTGCTATTCTGGATGTTGGATTCAGTCGGTTGATGGTGAATGCTATTCTGTGTAACTGGGTTCTGATTGGGATGGCTGAAAGTTGCTTGGGCTGTAAGGGTTGCACAATGGGGAGGAAATTTGGTGTGGGCTAGGATGGAGAAAGGAAAGGATATGAGGGCATTGGGACGATGTTACTTTGATACAGGATTGGGACTCCCAAGATGCTATGCAAATCATATGGCTCAGGCTCAAATAAAACAAGGCTGATCAGCATTTAAAAGTGATGATGGTAAGGCTTACATATTGAAATAGAGTTTTCCTTTTCAAGAGAAGAAGCACAGAGGTTTCCCAGGACCACCAATGCTACTACATACTTGGCAGTTTCCTCTAGAGCAGTGGGACTCCCAGTGTGGTCCCCAAACCAGCAGCATTGGTGTCACCCAGGTCATTGTAAGAAATGCAAACTATCAGGACCCACCCATTCAATCAGAAATTCTGTGGTGGGGCCCAGCAATTAGTGTTTTAAGAAGCTCTTCAGGTGCTCCTGATGCTGCTGGTTAGTGGAACACCGAGATGTTGGTGAGATGAAGCAACTGAAAACTTGCCCAAATGATTTGAACTCATCAGACTTATTAGAACACATGCCAGCTTCCCTTATTATGTGTGTGTCTGAGGTTAGCTGACCTAGAACAGTCTTCATCTATGGGCTCTGCATCCCCTACCCTTTACCAAGAAATCATGAAGCAAACCAGAGCATGCCATCAGCACAAGATCACACTTTAGTTCGGAGACACATTTGCATAAATACTTGAAATGGATCCATCATTGCAGGTGGATGCCTAAGAATGTCTGGTTCCCCACAACCCTGCAATCCTGTCTTAGAAAGTGGATTAATACTGCAGACAATCATCGTCATTTTCAAAAGACAGCCCAAGGGGGCATAGCTATGGTGTGCACTCTGAATATCATCAGAGAGCTCTCCTCCCATACTTCTTTTTTACTATTTTTTTCCCCTCTGAGGTAGATTATTTACCGGGGAATCCAAATAGAAAAGCAATTTTTTTTTTTCCCATGTAACTTGTCTCATCCTCTGCAAACAGGCTGACTCAGAGTCTCCTGTTTGGGTCAATAAGTGTACTTTTTTACCTTTAAACCTGTGACCTCTACATGAACCCAGACAAGGTCCAATTGACTAGATAGTCCCTCTAGGATCTGCCACATCCATACCCTCTCTTCCTTTCTCTTTTGAGTTCATGTAGTATCCAAGGGGCCGTGGTAATGGGAGGCCTGCGCTGGCCATACCACTTCAATATGTAGGACCACCATGGTGGTATTCCTTGTCTGGACCCCAGTGTTCCAAGTCCACTATCAAGCTGGTTCCAACCCCCAGATTCACAGGGGGCATGGTTGGTTTCCACAGGGCTTGGCATCCTCAGGTTTCAGAGCCTTGTTGCAAGTAGCTGAGACCTGGCCCGTAGGGTCCCAGCATTCCACAGTCCGCCGCTGCCAGCCAGCCCCACAGGTCCTGGAACACTCTGACCACTCCCCCAGGACCCACTGTGCATTGAGCAGGGGCTGGATAATGTTGGTGGTGGCTCTCTCCCTGGTGCTCTGCATGCTGAAGTTTACGTCATTAGGAACAAAGAAGGTATACTTGACTTTGGGGGGAAAGACCTCACCAGGAACAGTCAGGAGCTGGACGGTCAGAGGTTCAGGCAGGGGTCTGAAGCTCTGCAATCTCTCCAGGGTGGCAAAGGAGCCACTGTACTTTAGAATGGTCCCCTTAACTGAGATGTCTTGTTCCATGGCAGAGATTGCCAGATTTCCATTGAGTAAGTATTGCCCATCGGAGGTCTTCAACGCCAGGTAGCTGCCATCATTCTGCACCCCCGGGAGGCTCCGTTGTTTCACGTCAATGTTGGTGGCACCAGCTGGGATGGTGACGATGTCATTATAGCCATAACTATGAAAGGAACAGAAGGACACCTTTAGGACCAGAGGTTGCACAGCCTGGGTCATGCTGGTACCTCAGGGAGTTAGCATGCTCATGGTTGGGGTTGGGACAGAAACAATTAGCAAATAATTATGCAACTGCTCATAAAGTTCTAACTAAATTAACTGTTGAGGCAGACAGGAATGTTTTATACAATGCTATTTTGAAGGGCTATTATTTTATCTGGTTACTCTATTTCAACAGTTTGGGGTGAGGAAGTTAGATATGTGGGTCTTGACAATAGTCCAAGAGGAGGAAAGCACAGAAGGGCTTGAAGATCTGCTTCCGTAATGTTAGACCTGCTACCTCTTGACTGAAAGGAGATCGGCAGTCCATTCAATTTCTTACACTGGTATAAAACATTGTTCAGCCATCACTAACTAGAGAGAAAACTAGAGGAAAAATCAGTTCCACAAACACCTTCCTGAGCCCCGGTGTTAGTTGCAGCTGAGTCAGCAATTGCGTCATGGCAACCCATGGGGACTGCTGGATTAGACCATTGGGATCCACAGGGTTTTCACTGGTTGACTTTTGGAAGTAATTTTTTCCAGTCTGTCTTAGTCTGGAAGCTCTGCTTATACCTGCTCAGCATCATAGTAATTTGCAAGTCTGGTGTGGTGCTGTAGCATAAGCACTGGACTACTAACCATATGATATGTGGTTCAAACCCACCAGTCGCTCCTCTGAACTATACACAGAGCCGCTATATGTCAGAATGGACTTGACAGCACTTAATAATAGCAACAACTGACAGGTGGGTAACAGAATAGAACCTTCATAGGATAGAAATCTCATCCCATCTCTTTGAGTCAATCTGTTCCTAGTACTAGATAGCTTCCATTTGGTTAATATGGGCCTAGAGCAGGAACTTCTTGTTGCTGTTAAGTGCCGTTGAGTCGGTTCCGACCCATAGTGACTGGTGAGCTTGAACCACCGACTTTGCAGTTAAACAGCTTTGCAGTCTGGTGCATTAACCCACAGTGCCACACCAGGACTCCAGAGCAGGAACTAGGGAGAAATAATTGGCTTCTGAAAACCTCCTTCTGGGCACAATCAGCATACCATCAGCTGTGTGCTTCTGGACCGATAGGCTGCTGTCTTGGGAAATGTTGAAGGCATAAGGCTTTATGTGGTGTGGAGAAAACTTTTTAGTTCCTTGTTTTTCTTCTTCTAGTGGGAATGTATCTGGGTTACATATGGTAGGAAGAAAGTGAAGAATATTGCGGAGAACAGTTGGACTGGTTCTTTCTCTTTATGCCTTACTCCCGGCTGGGGCTAGCTGCTTATCCAGGGTAGCTGTGAAAGTAACCACAGGCCGTAACCACAGGCCCACTAGAAATCGGGCTAGAAGATCCAGTGTCTGGAGAGTCCAAGTTGTTTTTCTCCTTTCTCCTTTGAGTTTAAATTTGTTTTCTGTAGGCAGATTCGGTTTTTCTCCTCTCTCCTCTTTTAACTCCCGATTTGTTTTATGTAGGAACCCAGTGATACAAGGAAAAGAAAAGGAGAGAGAGAGAAACAGAAAAAGAGAAAGGAACAGGGTAGGGACAAGTGTTCCCTAGGCAGAATATGAATAAGTAAATACTTTTCAAAAACCCTGAAAGACTATAGGTGGACGAGTTGGAGGAGGAGTAAAAGCTCATGTAGCCCCAAAAGGACAAACATATGTACCAGATGCCAGAGTGGCAGGAAGTTTACCCGATGAGACACCTAATCTTAAACTCTTATGATTTAGGAAGTTGCATATGGCAAGGAAATAAAAAGGTCCAGGAGTTAAGAAACCTAGTTTCTCCTTCTGGCTCTCTCACTAACTATCAATACAATCAATGAAGATCCATTTAATTTTTTGTGCCTTCGTTTCTTCATTTATAAAATGAGAACAATAGTATTCACCTTGCCCACCTCATAGAATTATCTTAGGAAGTGAAAGCACTTTGGAACATACAAGGGGCTGTATGAACATGGGGAAGGATGGTGTGAGAAAAGCATCTGGAGTTCTGAGATTCATCAAAGCCCTGAAGTCCATTCACTGTACCCCTTTTTCTGAAGATCCACCACAGATCTTGAGTGAGATATCCTTACCAAAATAGGCTTGGAAAAGCTGCTTTCTGTACAAAATGGCCAGGATACTCAAAGCAGCTTATTACCACCTGATTCAGAGGCAATACATCCCTACCCATGTGGCCTTCAGCACTTAATGGAAATACTGGCTCTCAGTGATGAATCCTCTCCATGGGTTCGATGCCAAGTGCTGCACACATTGCATATCATGAAAACCTTACAATGACTCTGAAGTCGAGATTACTTCTGGTATGTTGTAAAGAAACTGAAGTTCTTTACATTTCATAGCTAGTAAGTGGCAGCCACAATTTAAACTTAGCCCTAACTGATTCTACAGCAAGTGTTCATATCCATTATGACTTTCAACCTAAGAATGGAACTACTGGGGGAACTCACTTGGAGGGGTTGAGTGAACCAGTGATCTTCCTGCATGAGTTGCCTTTGCCTCCACACACCCCGCACTTGTCCAGCTTCCTGGGTGAGTCCACCACGTGGTCACAGCCAGCTTTGACACATTGGCCACGGACACAGATGGCCAGTGTCTCTGGCCCACAGAGGGTGCCGTCGATCACCTAGAGTGGGGTAAGAAAGATCAGAGTGGACACTGGTGAGGGCAGAGCTGCCATGAAGTGGCTCAAGACAGATGACCTTCCTCCCCTCCTCTGGATCTGAGTCCCAGAAGCAGTCTTACTTTGGCCTCAAACACTTTGAACTCGCTTCTCCCTCGGGCTCGGCAGAACAGCTTGCAACGGTCCCGGGGTGACACCCCCGCATACTTGGGGACCCACTGCAGGAAGTTCCCATCCATGTCAGTGTAATTGTAGGCATTGTACTTCTCACACTGCTGCTCCCTGAAGCTTTTCCCTAAGAAGAGTCAGAGATAAGAGAGAGGTAACTATTCTGATGCAGGGGTAGTGTACCGAAAAGCAGGGAGGATCTAGGTAGGGAAGTGCCTGGACTCACAGTACATTTCTTCCTCTTGGTTTGGGACCCAATCCAAGAATATAAGTCCAGAGTCATCTGGACCCAGTTTCTCTGGACATACCCTGACCTAGATCCATGTGTAACTCAAAAGGGCAAGAAAAGGAAGGAGACATCCAGCTTCAGTGTGGAGCTTTTTAGAATTTTTTGAAAAGCCATTAACTCCATTCTACAGATAAATAAAGTTGTGTAGGGATAAGGAGCAATTCAGTATGTTGGAAGGCACAGATAATGCATGGAACTGTATTTTTGGCCTATTGCTAATTATCCTCTATCTTGACTTCCTTTGTGACATTGAACATATGGCCAAAGATTCTCAAATCTTCACTTTTAACTCAATCTTGTCCCTATACCCTGCTTCATGTAACTCTGGGCATTTATGGAAGAATTGGAACCCCTGACTGGTGTTAATAGTTGACATACTTGCTGCTAACGGAAAGGTTGGAGGTTTGAATTCACTTAAGAGTGTTTCAAAAGACCTTGGTGATCTACTTTAAAAAAAAAGAGAAAAAGGAAAAAAAACCAGCCACTGAAAATTCCATGGAACACAGTTCTACTCTGACACACATAGGGTCATTATGAATTGGAGTTGACTAGACGGCAACTTTTTTTTAAGTAGGGAAATCCCATTTGTATGTACTATTAATACCTCCAATTTAGCAAGACCCAAACCATATGGTTCCTCCATTAACTGGTTTGATTTTCACTAGAGGGTACTACCCTGGTATCCCTGGCATCTTCTGGAATATTTAAACATCTCTTGGTGGCACAAACTAGGTGGTTATATGCTTGACTCTGAAACAAAAGGTTGGTGGTTTGGGCATAGCCAGTGGCTCTGTGGGAGAAAGACCTAGCAATCTACCTCTGTAATGACTGTTGTTGTTGATAGGTGCCATAGAGTCGATACCGACTCATAGTGACCCTATGCATAACAGAACGAAACACTGCCCGATCCTGGGCCAACCTCACTATTGTTGCTGCCACTTTGCCAATCCATCTCGCTGGGGGTCTTCCTCTTTTTCTCTGATCCTCCACCTTACCAAACATGTTACCTTTCACCAGCAACTGGTCCCTGTTGACAATATGTCCAAAGTATGAGAGACGAAGTTTGGCCATCCTGGCCTCCAAGGAGCACTCTGGCTGCACTTCTTCCAACATGGATCTATTGGTTCTTTTGGCAGCCCATGGCACTTTCAATATTCTCCTCCAACAGCATAACTCAAAAGCATCAATTCTTCTGTAATGATTCAGTCAAGAAAACCATATGGGGCTGTTCTGCTGTCATAGGGTGTCACTAGGAGTCACAATCAACTCCGTGGCACCTAACAACATCAACCCATGATTTCCAATCTGTCATTAAGTCCTACATATTTTTTTTTGTTAAGTGCTATTGAGTCACTTATAACACATAGCCACCCTATATAAGGTTTCCAAGGAGCAAATGGTGGGTTTGAACTCCCAACCTTGTAGTTTGCAGTCCAGTGTTGATCCACCAGCGTCACACCAGAAGTTCATAGAGGGCAATTTAATAATTTAAAATGTCTACATCCCACTCTCGCTGTCTGAGTGCACTCTTACAAACCCAGGACTGATGACTTCACACAGGAATTAGTGCCCAGCCTCCTAAATGCAGCCTCCCTCCTCTGCAATCTTGCCACAAGCTTCTTTCAGACCAATCTGTCTGAAACAAGACTTGGTATTTGTTCACAGTCTTGTAATTAAACATGCTCTGACTGCAGAGGTTTTCACCTCCAACTGTGCCTCTGAATGACCTGTGGAGGGTTTTCAAAGCACAGATGGAAGAAGATTCTGATTTAGGACAGCTGAGAAGTGCTCCGGGCTTGAAAAACCTGACGGGCACCCAGGACTGAGAACTTCCAAAGGCTATTTCTAGTATTCAAGAACCTTTTTTTGTTCAGTCTTGAAGTGCTGCTACATTGTACTATATAGTACTTGAACCAATTACAACAAAACAAAAGAGTTGCCATTGAGCTGACTCTGACTGGCAACTTCATGTGTGTCTGAGTAGAAATGTGCTCTATAGGGTTTTCAATGGCTGATTTTTCAGAAATAGATGAACAGGCCTTTCTTCTGAGATGCCTCTGAGCAGACTCAAACTGCCAGACTTTTGGTTAGCAGTGAGCAAGGCAACTGCACCATCCAGGGACTCTGAACTAATCACCCTTCTCAAACCTTTCTCTCCATCCATGATTACCTCATACCACCCTCACAATCCTCCTAGATCTTGCATAGTTCTAATTCCCCCGGAAGCTTTGGACCATGCTGGACTTTGCCTTTCTCTGAATGCTTTATAAATCTAGGATCTGTGCCACTTAGTTAAGGAATTCTGGTGACACATTGGTTAAAGTACTTGGCTAGTAAGTAAAAGGTAATTGGCTTGAAATCATCAGCCACTCCACAGGAAAAAGATAGGGCAGTTGGCTTCTGTAAAGAGTGTTGTTGTTAAGTGCCATAGAGTTGGTTCTAGCTCAAGCAATCCTGTGTACAGTTTCCAAGAAACAACAACCTTGTAGTTAGCAGTCCAGTGTTTATCCTACACCAGGAGATAACAGCCTTGGAAATCCCATGGAGCAGTTCAACTCTATGCTATAGGGTCACGATAAGTCAGAATCAACTCAATAGCAGTGGGTTTGGGGATTTTTGGTGCCACATGGTTACGCCTTAATTGCTGTGTAAAGGGGCTGTGTCTCTAGTTGCAAGCTCCTTGCACATAGAGTCCATGCTTTGTACAACTTGTATGTCATTTATACTATCTGCCACAATGGAGCTCTGGAAGCATAGGGGTTACGAGTCAGACTGCTAACCTTAAGGTCAGCAGTTCAAAACTACAAGCCATCCTGTGGGAGAAAGATGAGGTTTTCTGCTCCCGTAAACATTTCCAGCCTTGGAAACCCTACACAGGGTCTCTATGAGTCAGAACTGACTCCACAGTCCACCACTACCACCACCACCACAGGTGTGCTGTTATTACTGTTAAGTGCCGTCAAGTCGGTTCTGACTCATAGCGACCCAGTATAAGGTTTCCCAGGAATGACTGATGAGTTTGAGATGTGGACTTTGTTCAAACCAACCTTGTGGTCCCGTGCTTATCCTACAGCACACCACCACAGGTCTAGGTACTAAAATACTTGTTGATTGAAATGGCTGATCCTGATGCATATGAAATCATGATGTCACTATTGTCCAAGCCTATCTTCTACCTGGGAGCACGGTGGCTCCATATGATAAGCATTGGACTTTGACCCACAAGGTCTGTGGTTTGAGTCCATCAACCACTCTGTGGGCAAAAGATAAGGCTTTCTGCTCCTGTGGAGATTTAAAACCTTGGAAATACTATACAGGGTCACTATGAGTTGGAACCAACTTGACAGCACTCACAACAGCAGCAAAAATCTTGACCTTTGTATTTATTCCTACCAACCCCATCTTGTTTAGAGGCACACTTCACCCTGGATTCCAGGCAAACTCTCACAATTCCAGAACAAAGTTGCTAGAGCCACATACCACTGTTGATCCTTTCCATCTTGCAAAATTGCAAAACCTACAGATTCCTATGTTAAACACCAACCCAATGCTAGTTTGTCTCTACACTTGAATGAATCTTTCTTAAAACTCTGCTTGTCTTTTCATGCCTGCCAATATTTCCTGGAGCTGCACAAAGGGGAGCTGGAAGGGATGGTGAGGAAAAAATGTCTAACACATCCCTCTCATGAGCTATTCTGATAATGTTAAAGCATATACTTTCTAGCAGGTACTTGGGTTAGAATATTCCATGGGGAAGTAGAAGTAGGGTTGCCTCCTAGGAAGGTTCAGTACGGCAGTTGCCATGGCCCCATGGGAAAATGGGCAACTCTTTTCAGAAGGAATGTGCACAGGAATCAGATTCAGAAATCTTCCCACCGCTCTGGGCTACATGTTGGCTGGAACATCGTTGGAGGTTTGGCTCTGAACTTGCTTTGGAAAACGCTTCCATTCTACACACAGATGAAGATTCAGATGCCTCCAGGAAAATTATTATCCTAGACACTAGTTCCACTGCAAAATCCTCTCTGGACTAACTTAGGGAGTGGGGTCCTCTACCTCCACATTTGTAAGACAAGGGTACTTTCTCCCCTTGTTGTTATCAGACTCTCCCGTACAATGAAAGCTGCCCAGGGCTCTTAAATGGCACCAAGGAAAGGGGCAGCCCTTATGTATGGATTGCAGGAAAAATCCTGCACCTCAGGGGACCCACCCTATTCCTCCTCTGGGGGTTTGTCCCAATAATAACTGTGACTCCTTTGCCAGGTTTTGCCATAGTGGTTATTACCATCAGGTGGGCATTCCTCTGTGTGGCATGACTGGTACCTAGCTCTTCGACCCAGACAGTATCTTCCTCCATTCTGAGGCTCAGGGTCCTTGCACTCACGGTATGAAAACCGAACTCCTCCTCCGCAGGTGCGGGAACACTCTCCCCAGGGTCCCCACGGGGCCCAGGCTCCATCCACCACAGCCTGCAACACACAATACCACACTGAGTCTGGAGCAGAGGTGAGGCAGTGTTGCGTCTCTGTACAGTCAGTGGCCACTGTCCTGAATTCTTCACCTAGTTACTCTCATCTTGACGCATGAAGTCCAGACAATTCACAATCATTTGTTCAATGACTTGGGGGGTCTCCTTGGCCCTAGGCTTTGTGACACTGACAGTGTGCAAGATTTGCTCACTGCTGACTCTGTTCTTATTACGGTGCTCAGTATGATATTGGTTGAATGAATGGATGAATGGACGTCTTTTATAGGAGTAAGATTGGGTTTAATGGAATGGCCTTCAGTCAGGGCTGCTTTGTCCCCCTGGGGATATGTGGTCATGTCTGGAGACATTTTGGTTATTAAAACTGGGGAGGGGGTTTACTACTGGCATCTAGGAGGTAGGAGACATAGATACTGTTGAACAACCTACAATACACAGAGTAATCCCACACAATAAGACTTTCCCAGACCAAACTGTCAAGAGTGCTGTTCATAAACCCTGGTCTAAAGGCGTAATCACTGGGAGGTTTTCCATTAGTCTACCAGCTACCAGGTCTTGAGGTTGGATGATGCGGGGGAAATAAATAGAATTGCTTCCAATTATAACAAAGCTCTGCCCTTGGTAGATTTATACATTTTTCAAGGTAAAAATGAATTGTTAAAAATTATAAAAGGAATACTTCCCAACATGGTGAATGTAATCAGTTGAATTCTAAACATAATCACTGAACTGTACGTAATACAAATGTTGAATTGGTCAATCTTTTGTGTTATATATATATGTGTGTGTATATATACACATATATTTATTACCACAATAAAACAGTTGCAAATAAGACTCATAAAAATGGTAGAACATAGAAAACTATAAAAAGCAAAGTAACACTTAAAAAGACCACCACCAACAACGATTGACATAATTTTTGCCACTATCCTTTTATACTTTTTCTATAAATAATCGTAAAGATACTTTGTTAAGAAAGATAGTCAGAGGTATTGCTACAAAAATCATAGACATGTTCATTACACAAAAATGTAAAAATGTGAAGTCACTGTTTCTTGACATAGCCTCCATTTAGGTCTATACATTTCTGAAGGCAGTATTTTCATCTCTGTAACTCTTTCCTGATGAATTCTGCACTCTTCAATTTACACCACGTCAAAATGGCAGTTTTGGCATCCACAAGAGACTCAAACTATGTCCTTTGAAATGTTCTTTGAGTTTTGGGAACAAAAAGAAGGTGGAAGGAGTAAGATCGGGGCTGTAGGGTGGCTGGGGTAAGATTTCCGAATGAAATTCTCATAGGACAGCGCTTGCTTCCCTTGAGAGCTGAGCAAGTGCACTGTGATGATGGGAAGAAAATTCAGGTGCAACTTTCCTTCCCTTTTTTTTACCAATGAAGTATTCAATTTTTTAAAAAGTTCTTTCTAAGCCTCCATGATTGTCCTGTGTCCTTTGAGAAAATCTATTAAGATGACTCCTTTGGAAGTTCAAAAACCAGTCACCGTAATTTTCTGAACTGACCTCTCTGCCTTGAATTTAATTGGCCCAACAGATCCCCTTGGAAGCCCATATTTTGATGGAACCCTTTTTTGAATGCACTCAAATAAGACAAGTGTATTACTGAGAGAACTTACCTACAGACATTCACTGACTGCAGTGACATGTTTAAATAAGTTTTGTTTGGAATTATCCCATGCATGTGTGAATCAGAACCCTAGTAGCAATACTTGTGACTAATCTGTCTTCTTTTCTTTAAAATGTATCACAAGCATTATTCCACACCAGCCTCTCCCTGTATGTGGCCTAGCTTTCCTGCTGAGGCTGTTGGGTGAGAAGTGGGTAGGCACCTAATGTTTGATAGGGAGGAAGGGTGGGAGGGGACTGGGGATGAACCTGCCCCAGCTCAGGTTTAGAAGATGAGTGTAGTTTACTTTGCACCTATAGACTCCTGGGGCTCAGTTCAGAGATGTCTTACTGAGGCCAGACCTCTGGAGTGCCAGCGTACTCTGGAGATTCATGCTGGGTTGGAACCAGCCTGGGAAGCTAGATACTATTTCATTGTGATGATTCCATGATGTGGGGAGAGAAGTTTGATCAGCTTCAAACCTTGAGTATTAGGAGTAGGGCAGAGAAGCAAATCAAGCAAATCATTTAAAACCCCCTCACTGACTTTTCTAGCAAGTTGACTCTGTACTGGGCCAAGTTTCTTTACCTGGTCAGAGGCAAGCCTCATTCCTTCTCCCCTCCTCTAGAGTATAGAATCCTCAGCATTACTCTTACCCCACCTCCCCCATCTCTCCTTAGGAACTCAGCTCCCACATGGATAGGATATGAATACTTTTCACTCAGTTCTTATGTCTCTCTTTTATCAATAATAGAGTTAATAGTGACTTCCACTTATTAAGTCTTTGTGCCACAGATTTCTATTCATTGAAGTCAACTCCCCAGCATTTTCTACGGGGTTCCCAAAATGTCTGGGAGAATCATAGGACTATTATTTCCATTGTGGGTATAGACTCAAATCTTTTGGACAAATAAGCTTTGTGATACGATGACAGAGTTATACCTTGCAGCATGGCCCAAAATCTAGTTTCCCACTCCCAAGTGTTTCCTCTTTGAAAGCATCCTCCCTCCCATTTGTCACTCACCTCGGTCCTCTCTACTTCTTCCTTTGGCAGACAGCTGCCTTCCCAGCAGCGGTGTGCGGGACCACAAGGCGTCCCATCCACCCAGGGCAGACTGCCATTCTTGGTGTGGCACAGGGGTTCAGTGCCCTCAACATGGCACCAGAGCTGGGCACAGATGTCCTGTACAGAGGTGTTGGGGCAGTGGCGGAAGTCAGGCCCAAAGATCTGCTTGCACTGTTGGTCTAGTGTATAGAGAGTCCTGTGGCCCGGTAGGTCTGTTGGGAGGGGCAGTGCTGAGGTGGGGGCATCCAGAAGGCAGTCTCCTGAGAGGTGGAGGAAGCAGAGGATGAGAATTAGGTGCAGGATCTGCCTCTCTCTGGAGTCTCTCACATCACACTGGAATTCCTAACGATAGGATGGAAGGAAGGCTTAGACATCACAGTACCATTGATCTCAATCTAAACACTGTCCTCACTCAATCATGTACACATAGCTTATCCAAATTTAAAATTTTCAGTAGCAATTTATTTTTATGATTGATTTTCTTCTTTCATGCAGTACATGTAGGGTGCATTTCCCTCTGGCCATTCAGTATGCACCAAGAGGAAGCAGTAATATTAGTCTAAAAATCCCAAACCAAACCTGTTACCATCAAGTCAATTCCAACTCAAAGCAACCCCATGTATGCCGGGTAGAACTATTCCACAGAGTTTCTAAGGCTTTCACAAGCTGATCGTCACTTGAGGTGCCTCTTAATGGCTTTGAACCCTCAACAGTAGCAGTTAAGCACTTTTACTGCTTGCACCATCCAGGGACTCCGTATTAATTGAATGTCCAAAGCCAAGCCCACTACCATTGAGTTGACTGGAACTCATAGCAACTCTATGAGACAGAGGAGAACTGCTCCGCTGGGTTTCTGAGGCCATAAATCTTTATGGAAGCAGACAGCCTCATGTTTCTCCCTCAGAGCAGCTGGTGATTTCAACTGCTGACCTTGTGGTTAGCAGCCTAATGCTTAACCCACTATACCACCAGTGCTCCTCTATTAACTTATTGTTGTTTATGTTGTTAAGTGCTGTTAAGTCAGTTCTGACTCATAGTGACTCTGTATAGAGTTTACAAGGAGTGGGTGGTAGGTTTGAACTGCCGAACTATGGTTAGCAGTCCAGGCTGTAAATCTGCTCTTTACAAATCCTGCCATGCCAAATAGAGCCAAAGTATAGGTGTCCTGGTGTAGTGCTATAGGATAAGCACTGGACTGCTAACTACAAGGTTGGCAGGTTCAAACCCATCAGCCACTCCTCAGAAACCCTATACAGGGTCGCTATGAGTTGGAACTGACTCGATAACACAACAAGACCTTGAAGACTAGATAGATAATTTCAAACCTTTGCATATGTGTGCCTGTCTCCTTCAATGGGAAGATAAGAACTGGCTTATGCAGGCAAATCACCTTCCTAGCCCCACCTGCTCTTTGCTGTCACATAATTGTTCATGGACATTTGGCCACTTTTGAGTTATCACCTGATTTATCACTCCAACCTGGGATGTTTTCTTCTCTCCTCTGTATTGCAAACATTCTTCCATTCCTTCAAGGTCTGTTCAAACCCACCTCCTACAGACAACCTTCTCAGACTGGTTCCACCCAGCTTTTTAACTAACAGCTTTTTAGATAGTTTGGATCAAGCTGCTGGAAAATGGGGAAGAGGAAGCAAGATCTGGGGGGATGGCTAAAATGTCACAGCATGGAGGCTGGGACAGGAAACTATCTCTGAATTCTCATCTAACCTTAAGTGTCTAAGGCACTTGTGATAGGCACTTTGGAAGTATTTCCTGGAGTCAGCAGAGGTGCCAACCAGGGCCTGGGCTCAGTAGCTGGCGGGGGGTGGGGGGGGGGGTGGGGAGGCGGTGCCCTGGGTGCTATCTACCATGACCGTTGTCCAGGAACTCTGTGATGTACATGGCACTGCAGGGAGACCAAGGAAGTGTCTTGTTGAGGTGCACGAAGAGTGGAGCCATCATGTGGTGCTTGTCCATGGGTCCGAAGAGCCGCTCACAGGGTTTGGAGTCATCATGGGGCATGCTGAGAACATGGCCTAGGGAGGAGAAAGACCAGGCTCTCCTTTGCTCCTTTATAGCATGCCCCACCATGCATACCTTATGCCCCAGGGCTCAGTTGTAGTCAAAGAGAGCCAAATCAATAAATTAAATCAGCTGTTAATGAGTTGATCCCAACTCAGGGAGACTCTCCATGGGTCAGAGTAGAGAGCTGTGCTCCATAGGATTTTCAGTGGTTTCCTTTGTTTTGAAGCTGGTGTGGCACTAGGATCAGCGCTGGACTGCAAACCACAAGGTCAGTAGTTCAAACCCACCAGCTGCTCCTTGGAAACTGTATACAGGGTCGCTGTGAGTCGGAATCAACTCAATGACACTTAACAACAACCACCTTTTTTTTTGAATGTAGATCACCAGGCTTTTTTGCCTAGGCATCTATCTCACGGTGAACCTGAACTGCCAATCTTTCCATTAGTGTGTTAACCAATTTGCACTATGTAGGGACTCCAGGAGAGAGCTAGCTTCTGCTGACACTGAAGTGCCAAACAGATACCAAGGCTTCACAGAATGCGGTGCTTTCACTCCCTTAGCTTTTTCTTTCAAGTCTTTCTCTTCCAGAACTGTTTCTTTGATTACTGAGGCACACTGACATCCCCTTATTTTCACATTCGTCTAGTATTTGTTCTTTTACATGGCACTTGTCTTGCACTGATCCTCTAAGAACCCCTCACTGCTTAGCTTGTATCCGGCAGTGCAACTTTCCTCAAGCATTTGTTTCATATTTTGCCTCCTTTTAGGAGGTCCAGGACATTTTAATATTTTGGTTGTGAGCTCAGAGTAGAAGTTAAGTTACATCTGTACAACACCAAGCTCAGGATCTATATGCAGACAGACACTCTCTTATAATGATGAGGGATAAAGGCTAAGATGTGGGCTGCATGTTTGCTAGAACCTAGGTAACTTGCAATTGGAAGAGGCAGTTGCCTCTAACATGTTAAAGAGGCTTTGGCCTGGCCAGTCTTACCTAGCTCGTGGGCCAGCGTGTAGGCTGCCTGGAGTCCCTCGTCCTCGATCACAGAGCAGCTCTTGTTGGGGTCACAGATTGTGCCAATATCAGCCACACCCAGGGTGTCACACATGCCTTCCTTCCCACAGAAGTTCTGCTTGGTGGAAAGAGAGGGAGTTGAGAACATGAGAGTACCTGTGAGCAGGCAGTAGCCATTGGGGAAGGAGGGGAGAAGCTGGTGCCCATAAACATGGGATTTCATATTTGAACAACCTGTAATATATTAGCCTGGGTGGCACATGTGATTACATTGTTTTTGGAAGGCAGAAGAAGCAATGGTAAGACTCAACCTATTTGGGTATTCAACCTAGTGACCCACAATTATGGACACGTCTGTTTCAGAATTGCGGTCTTTGGTCAAGTCCACTCATCCATCTCCCTGCCTTTCTGGCTTGGAGAGTGACCTGTGAAACTCACTGTTGCTAAAACTCAAAAAGAAACCACCAAAGACACAACGATGATTTCGGAGTACCACAGAACAGAAAGGACTCCTGGTGTGGTGTTGTAGGATCAGTGCTGGACTGAACGCCACAAGGTTGGCAGTTCAAACACACCAAGTGCTCCTCAGAAACCCTCTACGGGATCACTATAAGTCAGAACAAACCCGACAGCCTTTAACAACAACAACAACAGAACAGACAATCTTCCTGTTTTTGCTCATGCGCTGAAGTGAATTTTAAAATTAAGTCAAAACAAATTCTTCACAAAGGCCACTCAAGGACTTTCTTGTTTCTCTCTGCTGGCCACGTCCTAGGACTTGAAGAGCTTCAAAAGGTTGTTCTCAGAGACAGGATGACATGTGGCTGAGGAAACACAGACTTTCGGCAAGCCAGCCTGGACATGAACGAGGGCACTGCCACTTAACTGCGAGGCCTTTCTGTGTCTGTTTCCCCCATTATAAAGTGGGGATAACCACAGTACCTACCTCATGGGGCTGTGGAGATGCTTGGAGATGTGAATAGGGCTTGACATGTATTACTGTACTGTTTTGCTGTTAGGAAGCTGTCCATTTAACTCAGCTCAGGTAGATTAAGCCGCTGTTTTAAGGAGAGCCCCTTGCTTGTCTGCCCCTGTGTTTAGCAACCACTGAATATGGAATGCTTTGCTTAATTCCAACTCCAAACCTCCCACTTGGCAGTTTAAGCCCATTTCCTCTTGTTATGACCTCAGCAGACAGCTGGTCACAAACTTTTGGGAAAGAGCCCTAAGAGATTCTTCTCCTTCCCTTGCAAATACCTCACACTCTGATTCCTGTCCTCATGACCTCCTCCTCTTCATTCCTCTCTCTCGAGGCTTCTGGTGTCCAGCTGGGGCCAGCAGGCAGACATTTCCCATGTCAGGGCAGGCCCAGTGGTCCTTCCTTTGATCCACCCACCCATCTCTCTTCCTCCCCTGGGTTTCCAATCCACAGACCTGTCTGGTAAGCAGGATGGCTGTGTCGTAGTGCTCTGGGTGACGGTCGCTGGGCTTGTTAAAATGCCGTTGCCAGCTGCAGAAGTTGCGCAGGGTAAGCCCCCCGTTGTCGGACACTTCTGGACCCCACTTTTCATCTTCCACTATCAGCACTTTCACCACCATCAGGTTGATGGCATTCCTGATACTGGGGTGCTTGTAGATTCGGGCTGCCACAGACATCAGCGTCAGGATGTGGTTCTGTCATGGAGGAGGGACAGGCAAGAGAAAGGTGAGCTCAACAGTCCTTGCCTGCCCTTTTCTTGTTAGGGGACAACAACTGCATGTGTGCTAAGTACCATGCTGAGCATTTTATATGTAACATATGGTGTGGCAATGGTGTAGGGTAAGTACTGGGGTCTGCATGGTCGGTGGTTCAGACCTACCAGCCGCTTCCCGGAAACCCTATACAGGATTGCTGTGAGTCAGAACTGACTCAGCGGCACTTAACAACAGTCTCACCCAAACCTCTATATTTTGGCATTGACTGTAAATCTTTACAGGAGCAGAAATTCTCATCATTCTTTCAAAGGATGTCTGGTGGATTTGAACCACTGACCTTGTAGTTAGTAGTCCAATGTGTAACTCACTGTGCTACCAGGGTTCCTTATACTTTGGCATTATTTTCCTTCATTTTACATATGAGAAAACCAAGGCAATGGGTCTAAGATCATGAAGTAAGTAAATAAAGAGCCAGAATTTGAACCCAGACCACTAGGATCCAAAGTTTGTGTATTCAACATCTAGACCCACACTGTCTCATACTATAGTCACCAGTCACAGGAAGCTTGTAAAGTCCAAATTAACTCAACTGAAATAAAATGAAAATGAGTTCCTCAGTCACACAAGCCACATGTCAAATGTATCAATGGCCAAACATGGCTGGTGCCTACCATAATGGACTGTGAAGAGAGAACATTTCCATCAGCACAGCAGATTCTGTTGGACTGCACTGCTTTTGATGTCTTAACCTTGACACCAATTGTCTCCCTGGAAACAGGCCCCAGCCCCTCTTCAGCCTCAGCCCAGAACCAATGATCTGAGACTCAAGGTTAGTAGACGTTTTTCTCTTAGAATCTAGCTGAGCATTTTCCTGATGTCTGTTGGGGTAATCGCTACTCTTCAGGATGGGGGAGCAGCTATCAAAGCTGCCCTGTACCAGTTAGTCTGCAGACATCACTCACGGTCACTGTGTGAAGCCAGTGCTGTAGTTGGTCCCCATGTTACAAATCAGGAAGTGGAGATTCACATGGGCTATAGAGCAAGGATGTCTGCTTCGAAAATCCATGCTATTCCCAGTAGTTGGCCTCCTTGCTTCTGCCTCAATAGCCCTGACTGTTTTGTCTTTTTCCCCTGTGGCTTGGAAAAACTGACAGAGTATCTGGGTGGCACAGACAGCTAAGTGCTCAGCTACTATCATAAGGGTTGTAGGTTCGAACCCACCCAGAGGTACACAGAAGAAAGCCTTAGTAAAAACCAGCCATTCAAAACACTATGTAGTATAATTCTACTCTGATACACATGGGATTACCATGAGTCAGAACTGACTTGAGAGCAATTATTTATTTACTTTTTGTGATTAGACACAGGTGTTGAGGCTCTTACATGCTTTCTGTCCATCTAGACGCTCCTGTTGAGGGAGCCTAGATCACTGCTTGGCCTTGGTGTGTGGCTCTATGGTTGCCAACTGCTCCTGTGTCTATGGTTTTGAGAGGTGGCCAGATTGGAGCTCACTCTCTTGCCTCAGGGATCTCTTGAATTGGGCCCCTTAGGATTATTGTGCAGAAGAGGAGGCAAAGGGGCAGAGCCAGCTAGTGTCTTCCACCAGGAGTGGGGCCAACCAAGCTGCCACTTGCCCGTCCTATCTCTCTGTCCTTAGAATACCACCTTCTCTTGTCCTTTGTCTCCTGTGATCTGAAAGTACAATCTGAGAAGGGAAGAAGGAGAAAGGAGGAGACAACTAGATAGGGACATTCTATTGGGTAAGGCCATGTGTAGGCATTTCAGACAAATCTCATTATTTGTGAATATGATCTGTCTGTTCACCTTGCAGGGAGAAGATAGGTGGAGTCCTGGTGTGGCACTGTAGGATGAACACTTGGACCACAAGGTCAGTTTGAACTTCAAGGTAAATGGTTCAAACATTTTTTTATAAAGTCCTCGGACTCAATGCAGGGTCACTGTGGGTCAGCATCGACTCGACAGCAACAACAACAACAACAAACAGGCTGGCAGTTTACTTAGCGTGTCAAGCACTCCAATTATGTTCAGGCTGATGTAAACATCTCATCAGCAAAGCTGAAACTTGGCATTTGCTCTTGGAGTTGGATTCCTGAGGGAAAAAAGCAATCAGATCATTATGCAACAGGGGGTGAGGGCTTAGGAATGGTAGCTGACTGAAACCAATTTCTGGGCAGGTCCTCACTGCTTCCAAGAGCAGAAAGTTTCCTGAAATTTCTTCTGAGACAACCTGCAACTGTCCTCACAAGATTTCTCCTTTTTGAAACTCAGTTTCACAATCGAATAACTGGGTAATGTCTTAGAAAGCTTAGCATAGGTATGAGGCACTGATGTTAGCGGCTTGGAAGTGCTTCAAGGGTGTCTCTCAAGCAACACAGCTGAGCAAAAGATAATGCATGTGCTCTGTTCTCAATGACAACTCAAGCCAAATGAGCAAAATTTCTACATGGATAGGTAAGGTGCTAAGAGGAGCTTTCCAACACTAGAAATCTTAAGACACTCAAATTTCCAGGTAAGTTCCTCTCTTGTGGTTTAGGGGGTTCTTATAATGGTCTTCTCCAAAGACTGCAGAACTGTCAGGCTGAGCTGGCTTGAGGACCATTTTGCTTCAAAGCAGTAGGTTGGAACTGAGGACATGTTTCTTGTTGCTAAAGGAGTCCTTGGGTAGTACAAATGGTTAAGCGCTCAGCTGCTAGGTGAAAAGTTGGAAGGTTTAGTCCACCCAGTGGCACCTCCGAGAAAGGGTTGGTGATCTACTTCCCAAAGGTTGTTGTTGTTAGGTGCCATTGCGTTGGTACCGACTCATAGCAACCTTATGCACAGCAGAACAAAACACTGCCTGATCCTGGATCAACCTCACTACTGTTGCCACACTTGAGCCCATTGATGCTGTCACTTTGCAACCATGAAAATCTTACAGAGCACAGTTTTACTGTGACACACGTGGAGTTGGAATTGACTT